TGTGTGTGTGTGTGTGTGTGTGTGTGTGTGTGTGTGTGAATGCACGGCCGCAATTTTCGACGGATTTGCACCAAAATTTACATGCACATGCTCCAAGTTAGTGGGAAGGCCAAGACCGACTTTGCATTTCCCAACTCTCATCGATAGTAGAAATAATCGATATTTTCAAGCTTCTACGCCAGTTTTCATGTAGTTTGCGGCCAGTTTCTACTGGCCAGAGTGAGAGCCTATAGCTGGCTGCCACGAATAGGCAGGAAGATTCTATAGGCCAGCGTGAGAGCCAACAGCTGACTGACACGAATATTAACTAGCATGCTGGCATGCAAAAAAAAATCTATAGCTGCATTCGTCACAAGTGGGAAAAACTTAAATCTGCATGGCACTTTACTCCAATTGGCTCATTCGCTTGCTTAAACTCAACGTTGATTCTGATTCCGCAGAACTGGGTTGGGTGTGAAAAAGTATTTATTGTTAACATTCTTTTTTCATTCGGTTTTTCCAGTTACGAGTCCTTTTTTTAAAGCTGATCCTTTTGTTTAGTTCTTTTTTCGTAACAGATTTAATGTTTAGTATAGAGCTTAGAAAAAATTCGCAATATGAGATAGGCAAGAAGTAAGGCATGTAGCAACATCAGCACGGCAAAGGGCACTCCTTTAAAGGCAAGGAAGGGCAAAAATATTTTCAGTCAAGTGATAGCGATTGCTGTATGAGTCGTACGATTTTTGAATCAAGCACTGGCAACGCCGGGTCATGCTGCTAGTCCTTATATAAAACACATATATACTGTTTGTTCGTTTGTACTTATATCTGCCAATATTGTCTTGTTAAAAGGTATGTCGCAAATCAGGGAAATATAAAAAAATTATTTTAGTTTCATAATAAGCCGTATGTTTTATAATTTATATAATTAATTCATAATGCAAGTATCAGAGAACAAATAAAATTCGTGACAACGGCTTATTTCTAGCATATTGAAATTTAGGAAAACCCATTGCATTCTGCATCTTCAACTAATTTAACTTACTATTGAATGAATAAAACCTCTATTCCTGCATTTGATTACCCTTATTTTTTGTTTTTACTGTTATTTTTGTTTTTTCTTGTTTTTGTTTCTTTTTGTTTTTTAACGTGTGAGTTTCAAATAAACTTGAAACTTTTTATATTCATTAAAATGTTTTATTTCTTTCTTTTCTTTCTCGTGAAATCCTGTGCGTCTAAATAAACTGAGAATAATGACTATCGCTGTATTTGTTTCCCTTGTCACGATTTCGCGAGTTGAGATAATTGAAAACTAATATGTATTTTTTGCTATCATCCTCGCAGTCTTATGTAACACGCTAAATGGAAGTTTTCAAGCAGAAATCGACGAAGGAAAATTTAAATTCTTCAAAGGGGAATAACTCACGTGGTTTCCGAAAATTGAACAATTAGATGATTTTTATAATAAATAAAAATAAAAGTTTACTTTAAGCGTAATCTGATGATAGATCAATAAATGCCTAGCTTGACATGGAGATATTTGCAGAAATTGGATCTGAAAATTTCGCTGTATAATGTTCGATTTATGCTATTAATATTCACGATTGAATGCAATGACAAGAAATGATTTATAGCGGAAAAATAAAAATCTGCCATACATCGTGATATGAACGATTTTTTATGTTATCAAGTTAGGAACTTCTTGATGTTCCAACATATTCGCGAAAGAATTTATTTCGTTGAAAAAAAATGGTTATTTTGCAAAATATTTATGGGTTCACTTGTTTAGGCTACGAATTTATTGATGTACGTAAATATCTTCTTTGTACCTATTTGCAGTCGAATATAGGCGTAATAGATTTTACATGTTACTGCCTATGGGCGAGTAATTTTCTTTTGTACTCATACCATCTCTGTTCTCCATCAACTGCAGTATGTTAGTAAATTGTCAGTATATCTGATGAAGGTAAAAACGCAGAGAGAAATGGCTTAATGCCGATTCCAAAATGTATTACTGCGAAGTAAAAACCCAAGAAGCCTTAGTCGAAACCTGCCCTCGTGTCGCCGATCCAGTTGTCTGTGATATCAAAGGATTTAACTTCTTTTGTTAGATTATATAGGTGCATGTGAACTCACCATCGACAGCTTAGCACCCCTTACTCAACGACAAGCAACGTATGAAATTGTTTGGTCGACTTTTTAAAAGCAAATAAAAGTAATTTATTAAGGATCATTTTTAAAACAACTTTTAAAGACCGAATAAAAGTAATTTGTTATGGATCATTTATTTTAATATGTCTCTTTTACTAAACTTATTTTTCATTTCCTCTTTGACTAAGAATTTCCATTTTCGGTGTGCTGGAAAGTTTGTAAATCAAAACACCAGTCAGTCAAATAGGCTGTTGTAAGTAATAAATCAGTAAAACAAACAGCCAAACTTTCAAACAATCTCTGCGACTCAAAGCCAATCTAAGAAATGTTCACACCTATGGCAGCCAACACCGTTGGCTGGTGTTGAGTCGGCGGTGTTGAGTCGACAGTGATGAGTTGGCGGTGTTGAGTCGGTGGTGATGAAATGTTCCCTACCGAATTATACAGGTTACAGTTTTATATCTCATTAGAATTATTAAAGACTCTATGAGTAGTTTTTTTTTTACTTGCATTTGTAGATTCAAAGTTTTGCATAATAAACTGGTAATGTTATGGATGATATGGAAGTTGATTGTCTTTCTCAAATGCTCATTCTTCTACACTAGCCATCGTGGTATGATAGTTACAAGATATCTGACACGATATCTGCCGATTATTTGGAACGGAGAGAAAAATGGATTCGTGCCTTTTTCGGTTTTATTAGATGTGAAAATTTTATAAGTATATAAATCGTAACTGAGTACGAGGAAACTTCAAATGCACTCGGAAAAAGTTATCGTATAAATGCTTCAGCAATCCCCAGCGGGGTGCTGGAAGGGTAAAACGTTTTTTTGACAAAACACGGGAGAGTTCTACGCCTAGAGGTGCTATTTTGAACTGATTATCGATTGCGGTTTTTACTGGTTTATTCATTGCATATCATCGTTTTCAAACCCTGGAATCTCGTGTCTTTGAAAATTCAGGCGTTTGATGTTTCTATTTCGCTTATTTTGTCGATTTGTAATCTTTAAATTCCTCCCCTATTGTTACGGTTTCTTCTTTGCAGACTGTGTCAGCCAGTTGTAATTCCGAATGAATTTTAATTGCTTGATTAAATCAACTGGGTCAGGTCACCGAATTTCAATTTGGACCAGCTAATAACATGTCCCGATGAATCAACCTTTAAAAATTGAAACTTCATTTAACACCTGATCTAGGAATAATAATAATAATAATAATAATAATAATAATAATAATAATAATAATAGACAAAGCCCGTACCCACCAGTGGCTACGTAGTGCAGGGTTGAAAGCGGAAACTGAAGGTTTTATCCTTGCAGCGCAGGACAAATGCTTGCTAACTAGGAATTATCAAGCACATATACTAAAATATTGTGTCAGTCCAAAATGCAGATTCTGTGATAAATATCCAGAAACGATTGATCATCCTGTATCAGGTTGTACGGTGTTGGCACCCACTGAATATAAAACCCGACATGACAGAGTGGGCCAATATCTGCATTGGAAAATCTGCAACTTCTACGGGAAGGAAACTGAAAGAAACTGGTATGAACACCACCCAGACCCGGTTACGGAGATAGGACCTGTTACAATTCTATGGGACTACACAACACTGACAGAACAATCAAAGCCAACCGCCAAGATATTGTTATTAAAGACCACAAACAAAAACTATGCCTCCTTATTGATATGGCAGTCCCTGCTGACTGCAATGTATCTTTGAAGATATTCAAAAAGCTGTCAAAATACAAGGACTTTGAAATAGAAAACTCGAAAATGTGGCATATGGGAACATCAACAATACCTGTTGCTAGTTGGAGCCCTAGGACTGGTTGGAAAAGATTGCAGTAGACTAATTGAAGGGATTCCTGGAAGTCCATGCCTCAAGGAGATACAAAAAATTGTTCTGACAAGTACAGCCCAGACCTTACGAAGGGCCCTATCTATGTAATTTTTTTTTTTTTTTTTTTTTGTCAGTGGAAAGTGTCATGACGCCATCTCTAACCTTAGGTCCCTGGGCGGGACCCGGAAAGAAATATGAAAACGCCAGAAATCAAAGAAAATAAAAATAATAATAAAATAATAATAATAATAATAATAATAATAATAATAATAATAATAATAATGATAATTTATTGAATTGCTTTTTGTGACTTGTCGAGTCTTTTCAGGCAATTTAAAGCCTGACAATATTTTTAGATTTTAAAACTTTTTGGAGATAATAATGATTTACTGACACAAATTCTTCTAATTAACCCATAGCTGGAAGAGAAGGGGTAGACCTACACTTTTGCCAAGGATATTTGCGCGTATGCATATATAAAGAACACGACCTGTATTTCATTACACCACATAAAATCGCATCCTGTGTAGGACGATAAACTACAACCGCGTCCTGGGTAAGACGACAAACTACATCCGATAGCAAGGCCTCAGATCAAAAGGATTTGAACAGCGTGGAACTACCTCTTAATTGCTGGTGTCCCCAGGTCCAACCTGACCCGGGGTGGTAGCACCTGTCAGAGTCCCAACTATGAGCAAATAGTTACCCACCCACCACCAAACAAAAGAGGTAAAAACACTATGAAATTATAAAAATAGGTTTTAATACCAACAATACATTTTTGGGAATTTTTTTTACCAGCAAAACATTTTGAAAAAAATTACCAGCAATTCATTTTGAAAAAAAAAATATTACCAGTAATACATTTTTGGAAAAAATATTAACAGCAATAGATTTTTTTTAAAAAAAATATTACTAATAAATACATTCTTGAAAAAAAATTACCAGTAATAAAAATCATGTCGGCATTAAATAACCCATTGAAGTTGATATGACGTAAAACAAACCAAATCACATAAGATCCAAGATTACAGCGCCTGGTATTACCAAGCAGTCACCCATCTAGTTACTGACCACGCTCAACGTTGCTTAAGTTCGGTGATCGTACGAGAAGCGATGTTTCAATATGATATGGCCGTTAGAGAAAAGAAGAAGAAGAAACTGTAAATCATTAATCTTTAAGAAAAATATTTAATTAAATCTAACTTTCTTTAATTAAAATGAAATCTTCCAATTTTATTCTAAGTTCTTTGAAGACAATGGCTCACATTTTGGCATGTTTGATTCAGTTCCGTAGATGCTAAATACAATTATGTTTTTTGACTCAACATGATTTAATGAGCTTCTGTAAACTGTAAAGGTGTCTGGGAAAATTACCGCGTGACATCATCCGTCTAATATTTTTTCTGTTATGTCATATCACGCCCAAATGTCTTCCATTGTTGATAGATATAATTAGCTTTGAGTAAAGAATGAAAATGTTTTAAAAAAAAAACTCTTGCACAATCAACTCATGAAAAAGACCCTACACGCAAAAGAGAAGGTTGTAGACAAAAATTAGTCCTATCGAAATTATTGGTACAATTTTTATATTCAAGATGTTACCGGAAAGTTCCAGGAATATAGGTTCTTCGGACGTTCTTTTTAATGGGAATGAGCACTCAGATGTAAGATACAGCTTAATGAGTCATTTCATCAAAGGGCTTTCACTGTCTACATGTGTTCACTTAATAGGCGAATTTAACATTAGAAAGGATATTCGCTCATTACAATCAGTGACAAATTCGGGCAACGTATCTGGCATCAGATTATTACGAGGGAGTCCATAAAATTGATACTCGAAAAGACTTTCAGGATTTTGGAAAATATTCTTTAGACAGAACATAAGTTTTTTTTTGTTTTGTTTTCTTTTAAGTGACACGCGTGTTTAAAAGCTAGTCAAGTCCTAACGCAAGATAATGAGATTTAAGCGCGACGAATGACCCGTAAAAACGCCAAAGAACATGGGGATGTTTCCTTTAGTGATCATGGAGGGCCTAAAATATCACTGCACCGAAACCGTGGATGGAATTCAAAAGGCATCTCTTATGGTGCTGGACAGATTTCTACGCCGTTCCATACACATCTTTTCCAAACTGAAAGACAGATGTGGATGGAACTGCATAGAAGTATATGTCGGCGTCCAAGGTGACCTTTTAACGTTAAAAATCCCTCCAAAAAATAGGAGTCCGTCATATATTTCAGGTATAAAATTTGAACCTTAAATCCTGGTAAGTTGTTAGAATGGGAGATGTGTGTCTCAATAAGCCGTTTAAAGATCGCATTCGAGAACAGTGGAACGAGTGGATGTTTAGCGGGGGAAGACATTCGGGCTACCCTAAAAGTCTACCGAAAACAGACGGTCCACTCATGAGGTATTGTATATTGAGGTAGTTATTTGACAATATCTCCCCACTGTGGTTACTTAATGTTGTGGAGTAGTTTTCACAGTGGAGGCTTGTATTCCAATAAATCGTCCTAAATTAGGTTCGACGAACAAAACGTTAGGAACTTGAAATAAGAGTTAATGACGCAGCAATCTAGTTGTGATGGTTGGTACTTCAATGTTAACTCGTGTAGGGATTCGTCCCTGCGCTGGTGGTGTCAAGGCTGCGACTGGCTTGGACCGGCTCTGGCCTGCCTGGACCAGCTGTGGCAAGCCAGGACCAGCTATGACTGGCTTGGACGAGCTCTGACCAGCTTGGACAAGCTATGACCAGCTAAAACCAGCTATGACTAGCTTAGACCAGCTCTGACCAGCTTGGACAAGCTATGACCAGATAAGACCAGGTTAGACCAGCGGCCCGAGTGAAAACACTCGGGTCCCCATGTTAAAAACTGACCTTGTGCCACAACCTGACTCGGTGGGGGGGGTCAAGTAAATAAATCTTCCCACTGTTTTGTTAGTAGAATTTGAATGAAAAGAAAGTATATGCTTATTGAATTTATTTAGTAAATTCAATGCAACACATTTTAAAATACGATTATTGTGGGGTTATATTGTACAACGAATATAGCCCGGAAGCTTCATTTTAACTTGAAAATTTGGGGGTTGTCTTACGCGCCCAGTTGCCTTGTATGCCAGCATAGACGCTATATAATCTTTCATCTTTTCTTTTTACACGGAAATAAACCAGAATAAAGCCAAAAGATCGAATCCCGTAGAATTTTTTTTTATTTTTCCATATAAAATAAACGACGTTTTTAAAACATTTAAATTATTTTTTTAATTTCTCAACAAGCAACGTAAGGACAGAGGGAAGAATGGGACGCTTGTTTGTTTATGTAGCGATTTTCTAAGCGCTGCTTAGATGTGGCACAAGGCCGGAAGTATGGAGCACCCAATGAGGATCGAACTCACTACTTAGTTGTAATTGTTCTAGCGAGACAAGCTTGTTAACCATTACACCACGCCGAGGTGCCCATTGTTTGCTTTTATATAGCAGCATATCAAACTGTTTAATGCTAAAATCTAAATATTTTGTACGCAATTTTTTATTTATTATTTTAATTTTGGAGATAATAGTGTTTTTTTTTTTAGTGATACAAGTCTTACTAATTAAACCATAGCTGCCTTAGGAGAACATCTAGTCAAGATGAACAACTCTGAATTAAAAACTGTGAAGACAGCAGTTGCGTTGATTGATTGTTTTTTTTTTTTACGGCTTGTCAAAATTTTGCAGGTTATTTAAAGCCAGAAAATATTTTTGGATTGTAAGTATATTCAAAATAATAATTTTTACTGATACGAGTCCTACTAATTAACCCATAGCTGGTGGGAGAAGATGTGGATTCATACCTTTTCCAAGGGTATTTGCGCGTAATATGACGAACCCGACTGGAACTGGAACTCGGCCCACCGATTAACAATTCCGAGCCATTATCCGTTTCACCACGACCACATCCAAGCTTGCAGTACGTGGTATTCACAAACGGTCACCCACTTTGGTACTGAGCAGACTCGACGTTGCTTAACTTCGGTAATCGTACAATAATCGGTGTTTCAACGCGATGTGGCCGTAAACCTAAAAGAACGGGGAAATACAGGCAAAGTATTCCCTTATAATATTAATATAAACCGTTTCACTACAAGGAAACATTTGACATTCATTGACCGAGCAGCCAGTGCCGCTTTCATAGGTTCAGGAAACTATTAGTAGTAGTGGGAGTTTTAAACAAAATGAGTAATGTAACTTTTCCAATATTTTTCAACGCATGATTTAAGACAAGTAGAAGAAAAGAAAAGACGCAGTTTTTGACAATGTTCAACAATATTTTGCTTGTATGACTGTCTTCTTCAAGTTTAAAAATTGTGTACAATTATAATAATATTTTTAAAAATACACAAAGAATTATAAGCCTTTGTACAAATGTCGACGGTCTTGAGAAAATGGCTGAAATGGTAATGAACGTTATCAAGATATTGTTGGACGTTGTCAAACTATGTTTTCTTCTTTTCTAAATCGCGGTCTTCTTTTAATATTGTATTATTATTATTATTATTATTATTATTATTATTATTATTATTTCCTTTGATTTCTGGCGTTTACACATTTCATTCCGGGTCCTGCACAGGGACCTAAGGTTAGAAATGGCGTCATGACACTTTCCACTGACAAAAAAAATACATACATAAAGCCCTTCGTAAAGTGTGGGCTGTACTTGTCAGAACATTTTTTTGTTTCTCCTTGAGGCATGGACTTCCAAGAATTCCTTCAATTAGTCTACTGCAATCTTTTCCAACCAGTCCTAGGGCTCCAACTACAACAGAGATTGTTGATGTTCCCATATGCCACATTTTCGAGATTTCTATTTCAAGGTCAATTGTATTTTGACAGCTTTTTGAATATCTTCAAATATACATTGCAGTCAGCAGGGACTGCCATATCAATAAGGAGGCACTTTTTTTGTTTGTGGTCTTTAATAACAATATATGGGCGGTTGGCTTTGATTGTTCTGTCAGTGTGTATTGTGTAGTCCCATAGAATTGTAACAGATCCTATCTCCGTAACCGGGTCTGGGTGGTGTTCATACCAGTTTCTTTCAGTTTCCTTCCCGTAGAAGTTGCAGATTTTCCAATGCAGATATTGGCCCACTCTGTCATGTCGGGTTTTATATTCAGTGGGTGCCAATATCGTGCAACCTGATGCAAGATGATCAATCGTTTCTGGATATTTATCATAGAATCTGCATTTTGGGCTGACACAATATTTTAGTATATGTGCTTGATAATTCCTAGTTAGCAAGCATTGGTCCTGTGCAGCAAGGATAAAACCTTCAGTTTTATTATTATTATTATTATTATTATTATTATTATTATTATTATTATTATCCCTTTGGTTTCTATTTACTATACCTTATCGGGACATTATCGGGAATCTTGGGTAAGGCAATGTAGTAAATATATGCAGTCTGTTTGCACAAATTCTGATGTTAAGTGATACTTAATATGTACAGTGTTTCTATTTTCTTCAAATTGATAATACTCTCCCGAGCAGATGATCAATTCGATTCAGCGCTTTACGTCGAAACCCTACTAAAGAAGGGCTGTCGAGGATGATTTTGTTTATGTTTGTCTATGTACTTGTCATGATCGTACCCAGGTTTCCAACTTCGCTAGTTTACAAAGAAATATAGGCAAACATAAAAATAGGTGTTCTAACCTAGTTTGGGGAGGAGCGTTGATTTCAGATAAGAACTCAGTTTTCACTCATCATCTCAAGTTTTTAGATATACATGTATACATATAAGTAAAATACACACAAGCACACACACACACAATTCTATATGGAACCATCATATAGCCTGGCGTGCTATACCGATTGAGCCACACGGGATCGTCACGGTTGAAAAAATGTCTTAAAATAATTGTCGGTCTTTGTCCGTATATATATATATATATATATATATATATATATATGAAGAAAAATAGAAAAGTATACGGAAAAAACAAACAAAAATCCTAATATGCAATTATGCTGTTTTAATGTTAATATAATTGCATAGTTGCATATTAGGATTTATGTTTTTTTTTCCGTATATTCTTCATACTGTCGGATCTATATCCATATATATATATATATATATATATATATATATATATATAATATATATATATATATAAATTAAGAAATCAAACAATTTTATTTATTAAAGACATTTTTATGTTTAACGTTCTTTTTTTTTTTTTTTTATAGATACAAGTATTTAAGTAAATGATCTGTTTATAATAAACAGTATTAAATAACATTACCGACCTGAATGTCCGTCGAAATTTTCATAGAAAATATTCGTCCTTTGACAGGATTCGAACCTGCATCCTATACGGAACCGTCATTTACGCTGACGTGCCTACCGAACCACGCTCTCCTTTGTGGCCAGGTCTTAAGGTCAGCGTAAAAATTCCATTTAAGGACAGGTCAATGTTATTTAATACTGTTTATTATAAACAAACATTTACTTAAATACTTGTATCTAAAAAAAAAAAAGAACGTTAAACATAAAAATGTCTTTAATAAATATATATATACAGCATCGAACAACCACTTCTCTCCTGAGAACTGCTCTAAAAAACTGTTCTGAAATTTTAATTCAAAACATGAAAATTAATAAAAAAAACACCTACATAATTATTTGTAAATTAGTTTTTAGGTGCCACTTCTTTTGCCATTTTCAAGATTATTATATTTATTTTTTTCATAATGTTTAACATATATATCTTTCATCTGATGACACCACCATGTCTATGAAAAGATGTTTCTTGTTTGTCATCTTTAAACACTATGTCTGATCTTTTACTGTTTATATTGTTATTATGAATGGTAAAGTTACAATAGTGAACGCATGGATTCGTATGACTAGTTCAGAGTGATTACCGTGCCATTTTCAGCGTGTAGTACACTGTAATACTGTCATATCTTCCAATAAATATACTGCCTAATCTTATCATGCCGATCTTTGTATACATTCAGTATCAAGACTGCACATCCAAATACTAAGTGGTCAATAGTCTCAACATGTTATTTATATAATCTACACACCAGGTCAGCAACATAATTTATTGTGTTATCCGGGTAATTCCTGGTGAATAAGTTTGGTTTCTGTGCAGCCATTATAAATGCCTCTGTTTCTGCTTTTAAACTTGCACTTTTCAGCCATTGATGTGTTTTGTGTAATTATTATTAGTATTAATGTTGTTTCTAACTCATTACATTTGCCCCTGGCAACACTTTCTATATTCCTTGAAGACATATTGTTTTTAATGATTGAATACGGTTCTCTTCAAATCTATGGGAATTCCGTCTCTCTTTCAGAGTCTCTGGACTAATTTGCAATAACAATTACGGTTCATTTTTCTTTCTCCTGTCAGTCTTAATTTAGCCTCCCGTTAAGCAGAAGCCATGGTGAGAAAACAGTCTCCATCATTATGGTTCCATCCGATGCTTTATCTATGCGCATAAATCTCTAGAACACTCAAAGCATCCGTTGTGCTGACAAATAGTCTGCAAAAAGTACTTCGTAAGCATTGCTCTGCAGCTGATCTGGCACATGGCCATAATATTGGGATATATATGATCGTGGGGATCTGTGCTTAACTTCTTTTGATAAACTCATCATCATATTGATCTTTACAAAGTTATAGCAAAGTAAACCATGTATGCATATTCTATAAAGAAAGCCAGTACTTTCATTTTCATGTTACTGTCTTCGTCATCTCAATTAATTTGTCATCTTTTTTCTCTCCTTTCTTATTTAACTCATTTCATCCCAAGAAAGGCGATCATGCCACTAAGATGCAGAGGCTTACTGAGAGTGAAAGTAAAAAAAAATAGAAAACTTTAGTGGTAAAAAGTTAGAAAGGGAGAAATAAAGGAACAGGGATCAGAAGGACAGCAAATGGCGATTGATGTTGCATTTAAATTTTTGAAGATCGTAGGCGGCAGGAAAACAATAAATCAGAAGGGAGATCCACAGGCGAGGAGTGCGAGAAAAGAAATGTAGAATGGAAGGGATGGTTGCATCTGGTTAGTTCAACAGTAAAATGGTGAGACCTAGTTGCCAAATCTAGTAGTATGCTTATCCTAAATCTCACTAATATAAGGCTTGATAACTATTGAAGCTGTCCGGGTGGAATGTTCTCGCTACAATTTGAACACAGAGGAAATGAGACTGATTCATATCCGTGGGTGTATCATAGCGTATTTTAGCAGTTAAAGTTTGGACTGGTGGAACTATAGAATTGTGCTGATTTGAACATTAGCCAAGGAAATAACAATAGACTAACGATATGCTTACGAAGTTGCATCTATGGTAAAGAATTTGAAAAATGGAGAATAATGGCACTATCATCCATAGAAACTATGGATGGAGCAGTTAGAACCCAGTTATGGCAGCAATATTCTACATCTATTCAAACTTTTTGAGAATCTTCACTGTCGATTTTTCAAGTGTTCTGATAATTCTTCTCATCAGAGAAGCATTTCAAATACTGACTCAGTGAAAGATAACAAAATAGAAACACTGAAATAAAATGAGAAATAATGATAGTAAATAATCTTTGGTAACCTATAGGGCGCTTAGTTGAACAGGGCAGTAGGACACGAGAGAATGTGTAAATTAATTATATGCGAATGCGGACCGGCTGCACTGTTGTGATAATAAATGAGATACAGATTAAATAAACAGGAAAACAAAGTAAAAACCAAGATCCCGTTGAGATCACGTCAGTAACGTTGTTTCATTTTTTTTTTTTTTTTTTTTTCTAATCTTTGGTCACCTATGCGCCATATTGACTGAGATTGTCTCCTATAAAGATTCCAGTAAAGATAACATTGAAGATTAAAAAAAAAAAAGAGTTTTGGACATTTTTTTATTAAACCTAAATAAATGATTTCTTTTCGTGAACTTCTGACTACCCTTTATTTATCATTGTTTATAAGCTAATAAATTTGTTTATTTATTCTGATTGTTTGTCTCTGATAATTACTTTTGGTTGACACTGAAACAATTACTTTTTTTCTTAT